AGCTCCATACTCCCTCTTATCATACCTCTGTCAAAATAGTTACTATTCCAATGACCAATGAAAAATAAAGATTAACTCTAGGTTCCAACTTATTTAATAAGGGTGTAATATATACAAAGATACCTAAAATTAGATGACTATCATCGCAACCGGCCGTGGTTATGGGAGTTGTATGGAGCTCAAAACTGTGGTTTGTTTTTAAAATCAGACATACGCGATTTTAGTACTAGTAGAGCTCCTTGTGACAGAGTTCGTCCAAGGAAATACTGCCACCTGAACTATTTCTGCCGCCTAGCAGTAATGTGAGCACTTTCTGGCTTTTAAAGGTAAATGTGGCGGTGAAACTGGAGGCACAAGGGCATGAGGGTGACGGGCCCAGTGGCAGTACCTCTAATATCCTTGCGATTTATAGCTCTGAGTGGCACTGAAACTGTTACCGACAGGCATGTTGCTTACCACCAGACACACGACTTTTCCGTCCCGTCAGTTCATATCATAAAAAAATGTAGATTCGAAAAAAGTTTTTTTCATACATTTGCTCAAAACGTGGTATATTTCGTACTGCAAATCGTGCCGAAAGTTGGATTTTTCGAACTAGTGCTTTTTTAAATTTACTGTTGTTTCAAGTCTTAAATATAGAACTAAAGAGGTTGTATATTTATTTAATATTTATGTGCCATTCGTCATTAAAACTTATATTTACGTACAAACATCTTATTTGTTTAAATTGCATAGGTGTTTTATAAAACAACGTGTTACATTTAAAAATACCAAAATATTTTCCATAAAGATGGCTGTTTGAGTATTAACAATGACCGGAGGTGAGTATTACGCGAGACCGCTGTGCGCCGCGCCACTAAAATAGCAATTTTCATGTGGCTGAATACTGGCAACAACTAAACTCATTTTCTGCTAGTAAATTAAAATAATGAAATACAACCACTGCAACCATTATTTAAAAGTCTATGGAAATATAGTTCTAACGTGCTGTTTTTGTTTATTTTCTGTAATATCGGTCTGTAACCACTTTTCTTATTATGAAGTCCTGGTACTTTTGTTTAAACTTCTTTAGGAACCCGTGCACGGTAGTGAGATACAATTTATCTGTAATACATAAAACAAACATATACATAAAAATCTCGCCTGTCACCCATTCAGGGGTAGGCAGAGACCTCCACTCGATACGTTCATTATATAGTATTTGTAAATAAATATAAGTTTTAATGACGAATGACTTACGTCACAAAGCACATAAATATTAAATAAATATACAACTTCTTTAGTTCTGTGCTTAAGATTTGAAACAACAGTAAATTAAAAAAAAATGGAAAAGTAAAAAGCACTAGTGCGAAAATTCCAACTTTTGCCACGATTTGTAGTGCGAAAAACACCACGTTTTGAGAAACTGTTTTAAAAAATTTATTTGTTTAATATTGTTTCTCTAGTGTCTTTATTGCATTTTTTTATGTTTACAATGATGTTCATGTGGCAGATAAAACACACCAATTACATAGTCCCGAACAAAAGCACAATATAAAAAAGTCTTGTACTATGAGTACCAGATCACCAATGCAAATTAATACCGGGGCAATAATCAAAACACTCAGATCAAGGGGGTGACCGCAGATGTCAAAGTCATTTGATGTAAATAATAACAAATTATTGCACCGTCGATGCCCGATCGTTAGGATAATTCATAATAAATTATAATATCATAATAAATTATGAATTATCCATACCTATACATAAATTTATCCTAACGGATTATTTATGTATGGATATGGACTATAAAGCCATCAGTTTAAAAACGTAACAAATAACAAAACGTAATATACTTAAACTAAAAATTATTCGTATAAAAACTGTAACTACAAAAAGCCCGCCATTTTTCTCTCTCAAAATTGAACTTTCTGAGATTTTGTCACGACTTTTTAAAGTATAGTATGACTTTTTAGAGAGATACTGTGCTACATTATGTTGTGTAATCTCTGTCTGCTATTCCATTGTTTGCTTAATATGTGGAATAAAAAAATATCATTATTTGGTACTATCAGAATTGACGATAGGTTAGTCATTGGTCGTTTAATCATAACGACTACCGCGCCGATGCCGAAAGTGCATTGAATTTAAGATTATGATTAAAAAAAAAACAAAAAATATTCATTTCTCAAATGGGTCCTTCCGGGAATGAAACCTGTGACCTCCTTATTTAGCGCATACAGATCTAACTACTGAGCTACCGAGGTCGTCCAGTTATTATGAATATGAAATATTAATGGCTATTATTTTTATAATATTGTATCTGCTTCTGCACTCTCGGACACATAATTCGAGCCACCTTGCATTTTTATTTTGAAATTTAACTAGAATACTCGTACAAAAATATTGTTATATCCAAGAACAAGTTTTCCCCGGCTCTGCAAATTCAAACGTTCAACACACAAGGACATAAGGAGATGACGTTTATGTTTATGCAATTATTAATATAATTTTGATCCATTATTTCTATTTTCTTCGAGCATGTAATACTGAAAATGCAAGGTGGCTCAAATATTGTGCCCGGAAGTGTATATCAGTAGTTGATGAATCTCAACGTTGGAAGAACTTGTTGATCCTTTTCATCACATTCAATTCAGTCCTTTAAGCAAATAAAAATTCACATATTAAACCGTTTTTTAGGATTATTTTCGACTGTCTGTATCCGACTGTTGGAAACAGAAAAATCCCCCACCACCTGATTTCATCATTCCTCAAGGGCAACTACCACCAGGTTATAAAATGCAGTAGTCCATGTGGAAGCCCTTGAATCGACTTCATACCCAGGTAGGCTGCAGAGACAAGATGTGTAATTAGGAACGCTATTCTAACCCGAGGTGATTGCAGTGCCCCAACATAGTCCATGCGGCACTTACTCTTGTACCCTTTGTAATAATACCTGCAAGAGGGAAGGTCTCTACGCGACCACGAATGGCGCAGTTGGGGTGACAACATACTGTACAGGCTCAATATAGACCTAATTGACGTATCGACAAGATAAGATGAAGAAGGAGGATTATTTTCTTTTTGCTAAAACTCAATGTACTGTACGTGTCACAAATAAATCTCTTGTTTAATGACGATTAATGTGTTATGGCGAAATGAACACATGATCTATATATTTCTTAACGATATTATGCATCTGTGTCACAGTATGTTTACTCCAAAAATCACTCACGGTGACATTGTGTTACATTACACAAAGTATTGCGGTCACTAACATAGTATCTTATGTAACGAAAGCATCTTGACAAAGACTAATTTGAATTCAAGTTTAGTCTCTACTACATAATGTTTAAGTTTCAAAATTTTGTTTACACATTTGGAAAGAGGGTTTAATTTCCTCCAGTCTTTTTAAGAGGCAATTTTGATAAATTTGTAACTGTAACATAGTAATCGTTAAATATTACTGAGAACGGCTTTGTCAGCATTTGAAGACGGTTTTTTGTTTATGTTAAAAAGCCAACTCAAAAGAATTTTAAATGAGACTATTATGAAAATGATTTAAAACACACTAGATTTGAAAGTTAAGAAAACAATGGACGAGTTGTTTGTTTTATTTTGGCACAGGCTGAATAAAGTGTACAGTCGTGACAAGTCGTGCACATATTTTTTTGTTTATTTCGAAAACCAGAATTGACATTAATTGTATGCGATTGACATGGAAAGATGGCAAATCTAATCACGAGACTTGTTTGGATCACTTTATAGGATACTAGAATTTTTGAGAAAATTTAATTTGGTACTGAACATTTTAGGACATTGGATTGGTATTTATTTAAGCAGACAGAGTTAAACAACGTCTTCTTGTAGCGCCTCTCCAACTGGTGATAGTTTACCACCAATTCTACGTACTACCTTTGGTCTCGCGCGAGGCTGTAATAAGTTGCCTAAGCTCGCAACTCCTCTCCATTATTTTGTCTTGTTTAGTCACGCTTTTTTCCTTCCATCAAACTTTATTATCAAAATTAACTACAGTAATCTTTATCTTTGATGTCTAATGAGATGTCTTAGATAAGCAATTTTTCTGCGCTTGATGATCGGTAGAAGTTCTCTGTGTCGTCGTCTATGCGTCGCAAGACCTCCTCATATTTGACCCTGTCAATCCAACTGATTCCCAGCATACATCTGTAAGCCCACATCTCAATATGTCTGTGAAGATCTTCCCTAATAAAAGTTCAAACATCATTATTTACGTGTTTTGTATTTCACAAAAGTCCTTTCTTTAATTTGACTATAATTCACTGACTAAATAAGGAGTTGACCTTAGTTCGTGTTTGTGTTATTTATGAATATAATAATAGGCATTACATCATTGGAACATTATGTCTAGACAATGATAATAAATCGATAATGACTGTAGTTATACAGACACAAGTGTATGAATTTAGTACGTGGACGTGTGTACTTCGCTATATATTTCGTGTAAGATGTTAGCAGTTTAATCATCTTACGGCTAGAAATAAAAGACGAAATGTTATTTGCCTTATTTATTTTTCTTTTCTTTTTTTTAGCCTTGGCCTAGCGTTTTGACCTATTGCCTCTCAAGCAGAGGTCGTGAGTTCGAATCCGGGCTTGTACCTCTGAGTTTTTCGGAAATTATCTGCGAAATTTAATTTAATTTAATTTGAAATTTCCCATGAGCTTTCCGGCGAAGCAAAACATCGTGATGTAACCTACAAACCGAAAAAGGGTTCACAATTCTCGGTAAACGTGTGAAGTCCCAATTCGCATTGTCCAGCGTGGTGGACTATGGTCTAAACCCTTGTCTGAGAGGAGACCCGTGCCTAGCAGTGGAATGTATAAATGCGTTGATGATGATGATGATTTTTTCTTCTATATGCCAGTATTTCCGTTGTTTGGTATTTAGGAAATTGTCCTGTAAATTAATTTACTTTATCTTAATTCATTTTATAAATCGGAGTGACACTTATTAGAATTTATTAATTCAAACAAACAAAACATTGAAACCTATTTGATATATTGCTGTTTTCGTAGTGATATAGGCGTGCCTAACTCTATAATTAATGTTAATACAATTCGAGATTATACTTCGTTCTAAGTTTGTGTAGGAAGTGTTTATGTTATATGCGAAAAACAAGTGCAATTACTACATGGTTCAATAAAGAATCAGAAGAGTTATTATGTTTATACGATACCAAGTGACGGGACGCACAAGTGCGCCTGGTGGTAAGCGACTCGCCTGTCCATAACAGTTGCAGTACAACTCAGAGCTTTAAATCACAAAGATCTGACGGGGACACTGCCCCGTCATCCTGAGACGTAAGTTAACAAGTCCCATGTGCCTATAATTTCATCCGCACCTTCTGCCTTTCAAAACCGGAGCTCAGTATGATCACATTTCTGCTTTGTGGCAGAAATAGGTAAAGTGGTAGTACTTCTCTGGACGAACTCTTTCGCAATGAACTTTAATTTCTACTAAAACCTATAATACAACTACATGGTTCAGAAATTAAGCTGTTGGGGGAACCACGTTCGTCTGCCCCAGTAGCATGTGGTCTGGGCATGTTCGCTCCCGCGCGCATCTTACGCGTTTTAGCAGCGGTCTAGACGAGGGCCTAAGGCGAGAAGGCGCGCGGACACGTGAATTGCCCTTTAAGTCGGAAGCTATGTCCGGACATTGTCGCAGGACACTGCAACCGGCATCTCCAGCACTAGCCCGGAGAGCTAGTACATGATAAGCTAGATATCCTCCGGTCCCTCCAGCCGCGCAGGTTTCTCGGTCGGGAAGCGAGAAAATAGGGAGGATGCTCTATAAGGGCAGCTCACCCAAGCCTTTTGAGAACCGGATGAAGTTTGTGCAAACCGACTGATCTGGGGTCAGGACCTGACTGAGAAGGTTCCTGTGGTTGCACAGGCTATAGTGCCCTTCTTGTATATTCCAAGGGTCGGTAGAGCGGGTAACTACAATCAAAAGTTATGTAGAAAGGAACGGGAGGCTCATATATTAGGCTAGCACGATAGGGCGCGACTTGTGTAACAGCGACAAAAAGCGCGAGATATTTTCGCATAAAGGATACCTATAAATAAGATGTTTACTAATAATTTCAAAAAATTATTTGCGTATTAATAATTTCAAAATGAAATGAAAGGCTATTATTATGTTTCAAGAAAATTGTATTCATATTTCACAACATATCATGTACGTGACTGACATAACAACAGCGGCCTACTTTTAGATATTCTAAAGGACTAGATTATTACCTAGATTTTGGTCAAACCAAAGCTATGCGTGTGACAGATACAAGCGCACGTTTTGAGCGTGCGTTACCGACAATTTGCATTCATAGCATGACCGATTTGAAACTATTGTTTGCTTTAGTTTCACAATCGGGAGGATTGTTGATAGGTGCGCCTTGCGCGTAATTGGGGCATTCACCGTAAATCATAGTCTATTCAAATGTCTTTAAATATGGTTTTCTTTATTTTCTCATATAGATACTATTATTTAGAATTTCAAACTATTTAAGCCTAAGGATTACTTGGTGAGGTTATAGCGTACCTTTTTTAATTTGTATACTCTGCCAGGACGCTTTCAATAAACTTTTTTTTAAATTTGTTGTAAGAATAATCCTAAGTTCAAAGTATATTGAAGCGCTTTTGACTATACTAAAGCAACTGTCAGGGAGTCACACTTATTCTGTTCGTCAGAAGAGCGAAAAAGACGTGTGTCTCGGCGTAGGTCCGACCGGTGGT